AACAAAGCATGGCGCCGGCATTAAAATATAAACATCATTTATCACTCACAACAGACACAACAACAAAGTGAGAGAACTCTATACATCTCCGCAGTTAATGGGTTCGTTTTTTGTTTTTTTTATTTCATGTCGGGGTATGTTAGTGTCGCCACATAACGAACTTCATCATACAGGATTAAATCCAACAAAAGATCAACATATTATGAACGCTATACATTGTTACATTTAAATCCAACGTAAGATCAACATATTATGTGCTCTATACATTGTTACATTTAAATCCAACACAATCTCAACATATTATGAACGCTATACATCGTTATATTTAAATCCTACACAATCTCAACATATTATGAACGCTATACATTGTTATATTTAAATCCTACACAATCTCAACATATTATGAACGCTATACATTGTTACACTTAAATCCAACAAAAGATCAACATATTCTGAACACTATACATTATTACATTTAAAGCTAACACAACTTCGGTTATTTAGCTGTTAAAAGACTTGTATGGGAAGTAATGTGTTGCTTTTACCGTAATTAGCCATTTAATTATTCGGTGCTTAAGGGGACGTCATGCCATGCTGAAACTGTTTATAACGACTCTTAACGTGACATACACATACTTACATACATGCAGATACATACATACACACACACATACACACACAGCCATTCATACATCCCCACACATAGACGCTAAAAGCGAATTGCTTAGTTGTGTAACCGCGCATGTATTTTTTAAATGCCGCCTTTATTAATTTGGATAATTAAGTAACCCCAAGCTAATTTGACCTCCCCCCACCCATACTTCTCCCCAAACTCATATTTCGGTAATTTAGTGCAATGTTTGCAGACGTTTAATTAAAAGTGGATCATTAACTCGTTAATTCCACAATGTTTGTATCGCGCTCCGGGTAGCCTCATCAAGTCAACATACCACGTTAAGGTCTGGATAGCACATTTGGCTACCAGGAGTCGTCTCGAGGGTTTCAAGCATCCGTGGGTGTAGAATGTGTAATAGCGTTAATTCTTCGAAATTTTCAAGTGTCCAATTGTAAAGTGACACTAAGTGTAAAATTTTCTAGATGGGTCATTTATAATGACGTCATGTTTTTATTTTGGCGATTTACAAACTTCAACACCCCCCCCCACACCCAATTGTTACTCATCGTCAAAACTGTTTTCTCTGATAAAGTGAAGGAACACATAGTATTAACTCTAAACTGTTTTCTAACTAGATTGGGTTTATCTAAGGCTTCGTTCACCGCTCTTTTATATCAAATGTTTTATACATCAAATGTTTAATATATCAAATGTTTAATATATCAAATGTTTATATACGAAATGTGTATATATCATATGTGTATATATCAAATGTTTATATATCAAATATTTATATATCATGTTTATATATCAGATGTTTGTATATAAATTGTTCATATATCAAATGTTTATATATCAAATATTTATATTTCATGTTTATATATCAGATGTTTATATATGAATTGTTCATATATCAAATGTTTATATTTCAAATGTTCAAATATCCAATGTTTAGATATCACAAGTTAAAAAATCAAATATATATCAACTGAGTTTCTTCCAAGCATATCTTCGCCTCCCCACCCCCGCCGAACGAGATGGAATTTATATTGTAAACATATACTTTTACTAGTGTCCGCCCCCCCCCCCCCTCCAGAAAATGTAGACCGCCCCCCCCCCCCTCCCCCCCCCCCCCGGAGAAAAAACTCTGGAAGAAACACTGTATATCAAATGTTTACCAAATCTGGCTCGTTAATTCATTGGCTTATCAATGTCAAAATTCTATGCATTGATAAACAATAAATGCAAAATAACTCCTGAAATTGTATTTCAATTTTTTTTTAAATTAAGAAGGATGACATCACACTTTCTATCCCAGAGTACATTTCACTTTTAGACGCCTAGTCTTGCACACATTCAGTACTTTTGCACACATTCAGTACTTGTGAAAAATGAGCACACAAAAAAAAACTGACAGTCTCAAAGCTTGAAATCTGGATAAATTTCAGCTTTACCCACTGTAAAGATACATGTTTACACGTTTTTTTTGTATTTATTTTTTTAATGTGTAGCATCCTTATCTAGATCGCAAGCCTCGAGGTTGTGTTTTGTCGTGTCATGCCGGAGTTTAGATAAGATCTCAGTCTAAATATCTCATTGTTAAAATATCTCGCGGTCAAAATATCTCATTGTTAAAATATCTCGCGGTCAAAATATCTCATTGTTAAAATATCTCGCGGTCAAAATATCTCATTGTTAAAATATCTCGCGGTCAAAATATCTCATTGTTAAAATATCTCGCGGTCAAAATATCTCATTGTCAAAATATCTCGCGGTCAAAATATCTCATTGTTAAAATATCTCGCGGTCAAAATATCTCATTGTTAAAATATCTCGCGGTCAAAATATCTCATTGTTAAAATATCTCGCGGTCAAAATATCTCATTGTTAAAATATCTCGCGGTCAAAATATCTCATTGTTAAAATATCTCGCGGTCAAAATATCTCATTGTTGAAATATCTCACGGTCAAAATATCTCACTGTCAAAATATTTCGTTGTCAATATATATCATGGTCAAAAGATCTGATGGTCAAAAGATTTCATGGTTAAAATATCTCATTGTCAAAATATCTCATTGTCAAAATATCTCATTGTCAAATATCTCATTGTCTAGATATTTTACGGTCAAACTATCACATGCTCAAAATATCTCACGGTCAATATGTGTGTCATGTCAAAATAAAAATAGCATGTTTTATTATTTTTATTGATACAGATTAAAAATATGATATGTGTGTTCAGCGCTTTATCTGAGGCTAAAGAGGCTGTAATGTTTTTGAGTGAAATCACTCACGTGGAAACTGAAATCACTCACGTGGAAACTGAAATCACTCACGTGGAAACTGAAATCACTCACGTGGAAGCTGAAATCACTAAAGTAGAACGTGTCATCCGGGTCTCTGATTACACCCGCATAATTTCGTCTGACACGAGCATTGTGACCATTGGCTGACCTCTGACCTAGCTGTCATGTCACCGTGACCTTTGAACTCCTGTAAGAGGTGGGGTGGTTTTCATGCAGCATCCTGTTGCCCAGAGATCTCCAAATCTGATAGGGGCTGTGACACAATTTTTAACAACAGCTTTAAATGTCACGCATGTATAACTATTGTTAACATGATCGTTTAAATTAAAATTGTGGGGAATGGGTTGACGTGTTACAGTTTGTATTTTGCCCTTGTTACAATACACAAAAAACACTTGACTCAGTGTAGGGCGTTTTGGATTTGTGCGACAACAAGGATTTTAGATTTTTCAGCCGTGTAATTAGCAATTAGCGCAGCTATATCGCGTGTGACACGTTGATATTCGTAATTGATGCGAATATTTTCCGATTGTTTCGTTAATTTTTTTAATTATTTTTTTTCTTCTGCTTTAATTATTATTTTTTTTTTTAAATATCACCGCTACACCCAAAATCGGACTTACAATATTATTTGGTATCGAAATTTCAACATTTCAAGTGTCGATACTTTGGTTTTATTATTGGGATATAGTCTTATTTCTACTTCTATTTTTTATGTATGTTTCCTCGAAGCGGCATTCACACAGCCTTTAAGATATGGGTTAAAATGACCCATATGACCCGTGCTACAGTGACATTTCGTGATAGAATGACCTCTGTGACGAATGTTACAATAACTCCTGCGCATGTCATTAATATGGGAATAATTCCTGGTTGTATGGTCTGTCTAACCACTCACATTTAATTGACGTATTAACACAGCCGTATTTATTCTTCGTCGAGATTGGTGAATAAAAATAGAAGCATTTACTTGTCTATAAATGTATACATAAATCAGCGGTTCTTAACGTTTTTAGAGGTCCCGAACTCTATCAGTTCCATGTAAGTATTCACTGAACTCTTTTATAATGGTTGTATCATCCGCAATGACAAAATCAGATTGTCACTTAAATAAGTCGGGTTAAGAACCACTGAAATAAACTATGCAAGAATATATGGCACACGTGGTTATTGTTTTCAAGTGACTATCGCAGGGGATTAGAGAGGTGATAGTCGTGTGTACTACATGTATGGATTGAACTGGTTCAAGCCAAATCCTTTTAGATTATCATAAGATTTACTCCAATACTACGGATATATTATACGACTGCTTTATGCCGTCGCATTTCATGAATAGGCTTAGGCAAGTGGTTTCCAAATCTTGGGAGTCGCCAAAACAACATAAAACTAGAGCTAAAATAAATTTGGGATAAAAAGAACTGACAACAGCCGGACTGAACAAAGAAACTGATCACAACCACTCCCATATATGGATTGAGCTACAATCAAACCAACCTCAGAAACGGACACATTAACGCCCACCTACGGAACTGATCCAACCCAGATTAGGGACTGACCACAACCACGCACACCCTGTGATCTGAAATCAAACCACGCCCACCCAATGATCTGAGAACAAACCACGCCCACCCAATGATCTGAGAACAAACCACGCCCACCCAATGATCTGAAAACAAACTACGCCCACCCAATAATCTGACCAGAGCAACGCCCACCTAACGAACTTGCCGACAACTTTCTATTGATGATCTAATACCAAAACAAAATAATTACTTGTTAAATTGTTTTTCTAATGACAGAACCCCCCCCCTTCCTGTCCCTTCGGTTCCCCAACACCCCCCCCCCCCCCACACACACACACCAACTCACCGTGGCACAGTGACATCATAGAACCTGAGTCGCTCCAAAAAAGGTCAGGTACAGAGACCCTCGCTGCTTGAGTATGTTAATTACGTCATTAGCCAGGAACGTGGGTCCGGCACCTACGTGAGCAGGATCGGCTCACGCGGGGCGTCCAGGACCTGTTCTGAATACACGCGTCACTGCACGTGGGATTCAGCTGGGGCTATTTATATCCCCAGCGGTTGTTGCTCTTCATTCAGTCCGTTTGCCACTTTCCTAGGATTGTTTTAATCCGTGATACAATTACACCATGACGTTCTTACTTGGATTACCTGCTCTTGTCTTGATAAGTGTACACACTATAGCTTTCTCTGGTAGGACTATATGATTTTTCAATTTAAAGTATATATTTACATAAGTGGTGCATATTTTGTGCTTTAACAATAATATTTTTTGTTGCGATTTTCAATTAAAATTTTGCTAGCGAAAATACAAAATCGACTCATTAAAAATCTAAGAATACTTAAAAAGTTGCAGACAGCGTTTTCCCCTGATAAACGTTTAAATGCATTCGACTGAAACTGATTCTTCTCTAGAAGTTTTAGACTGAGACTGTAAATATCGTGTCGCCCTGCTGCCTTTGACAGTTACGAATATTACACAATAATCTGTAACCCTTTTCTCATGACAGTAACGTGACTATAACACAGTGAAAGACAGCCATTGGTAGCAAAGAAAAATCCCCACTACGTACCGGACAGACTTTGTCGACTCTACCAGACAGGTTACTTTATTATTAAAGTTAAACACATTCTATTTAAAACTACAACCAGAACGGACACACATTTTCAGTCTTTAATATCAGAGCTGCACGCACGTTTTCTGACACTGACTGAACCGGACACACCTAAATCTGAGAGTTAAGTTTAAGCTCATGACGAGCCAGTCACTCCCCTAACAAAGTTCTCTCCCCTGTCCCAGCCGCCAATGAGTTCTGTCACCGAGGCTTTCAGGCGGCCGCCAAGTACCACGAGTGCTGGGAGTCTGCGACCTACGCCAACAAGTACCCCCAGCTGTACGAGCCGCACAAGGAATACACGCAAGACTTTCTGCAGGGGTACGCCGTCCATATGTGTAGGTAGGTACAGCCGTCCATATGTGTAGGTAGGTACAGCCGTCCATATGTGTAGGTAGGTACAGCCGTCCATATGTGTAGGTAGGTACAGCCGTCCATATGTGTAGGTAGGTACAGCCGTCCATATGTGTAGGTAGGTATAGCCGTCCATATGTGTAGGTAGGTACAGCCGTCCATATGTGTAGGTAGGTACAGCCGTCTATATGTGTAGGTAGGTATAGCCGTCCATATGTGGTACAGCCGTCCATATGTGTAGGTACAGCCGTCATTATGTGTAGGTAGGTACAGCCGTCCATATGTGTAGGTAGGTACAGCCGTCCATATGTGGTACAGCCGTCCATATGTGTAGGTAGGTACAGCCGTCCATATGTGTAGGTAGATATAGCGACCATATGTCTAGGTAGGTACAGCCGTCCATATGTGTAGGTAGGTACAGCCGTCCATATGTGTAGATAGGTACAGCCGTCCATATGTGTAGGTAGGTACAGCCGTCCATATGTGTAGGTAGGTACAGCCGTCCATATGTGTAGGTAGGTACAGCCGTCCATATGTGTAGGTAGGTACAGCCGTCCATATGTGTAGGTAGGTACAGCCGTCCATATGTGTAGGTAGGTACAGCCGTCCATATGTGTAGGTAGGTACAGCCGTCCATATGTGTAGGTAGGTACAGCCGTCCATATGTGTAGGTAGGTACAGCCGTCCATATGTGTAGGTAGGTACAGCCGTCCATATGTGTAGGTAGGTACAGCCGTCCATATGTGTAGGTAGGTACAGCCGTCCATATGTGTAGGTAGGTACAGCCGTCCATATGTGTAGGTAGGTACAGCCGTCCATATGTGTAGATAGGTACAGCCGTCCATATGTGTAGGTAGGTACAGCCGTTCATATGTGTAGGTAGGTACAGCCGTCCATATGTGTAGGTAGGTACAGCCGTCCATATGTGTAGGTAGGTACTGGTACAGTCCATATGTGTAGATTCGTACAGCTATTATCAATCAAAGAGAATAATGACTTAAATTATTTTTTTTTAAAATTAATTCAACACATTTTTCGGCTATATCTTGAAAACTGTAGCAGGAGTTCACTTTAATATACTTTTCATTTTGTGTATTTAAATGTAGGAAATTATTTTGATATCTCAAATACTAACCCCACCTATGACCCCACCCATCTACCCCCTCCCCACAACAACAGCGTGGTGAAACCCCAGGCACTAGAGTGTTTTAAGAAGGAGGTGGCCGACTGCTCCAACGCCAACAAACTGGTCACCATCGCTAACGAGAGTGGCGGGGCTTGTGAGGGGGATCATCTCAACCCGTTCTTTAAATCACGTGAGTACATCTGGTCTAGCACATGTACGTGAGTACATCTGGTCTAGCACATGTACGTGAGTACATCTGGTCTAGCACATGTACGTGAGTACATCTGGTCTAGCACCAGCACGTGAGTACATCTGGTCTAGCACCAGCGCATGCACATGAACGTGAGTACATCTGGTCTAGCACCAGCGCATGCACATAAACGTGAGTACATCTGGTCTAGCACCAGCACATGCACATGAACGTGAGTACATCTGGTCTAGCACCAGCACATGCACATGAACGTGAGTACATCTGGTCTAGCACCAGCACCAGCACGTGAGTACATCTTGTCTAGCACCAGCACATAAACGTGAGTATATCCATATATCATTGACCATCTTTATCTTCCATATATCATCGACCATCTTTACCTTCCAGATATCATCGACCATCTTTACCTTCCAGATATCATCGACTATCTTTATCTTCCAGATATCATCGACCATCTTTATCTTCCAGATATCATCGACCATCTTTATCTTCCAGATATCATCGACCATCTTTACCTTCCAGATATCATTGACCATATTTATCTTCCAGATATCATCGTCCATTTTTACCTTCCAGATATCATTGACCATCCATCTTTATCTTCCAGATATCATTGACCATCTTTAACTTCCAGATATCATTGACCCTCTTTATCTTCCAGATATCATCGACCATCTTTATATTCCAGATATCATAGACCATCTTTATCTTCCAGATATCATCGACCAGATATCATCGACCATCTTTACCTTCTAGATATCATTGACCATCTTTATATTCCAGATATCATAGACCATCTTTATCTTCCAGATATCATCGATCACCTTCCAGATATCATTGACCATCTTTATCTTCCAGATATCATCGACCATCTACAGACCGTACCTGGAGACTCCCCATGTTTTGACATTGCCGACTCGTCCTATCAATGTTATGTAGCGGCTGGTCAGCAGATCATGGACAGTGGGGTGGACACGGTGGACATCAGCAGATTCCACAAAGTGGCAGACAAGTGGGTCTCATTCTTGTCTTTTTTAAATTCATAAATTAGTACCGCCCTCTACAGCCGTGACAAGCACAAGTTTATCTTATCCGTCTATGTTGGTGAGTAGAATAGACACATAATTCTTCTTCTTCGCTCTTATTTGTTATATTGGATGAGATTTCCTCAAGAACTGTTAAGTACTGATTGTCAACATGTAATCCGCGATATGGCTGATTGACCCCAACAGCCTACTTTTCAGTCTGGATTTGCTGCCATAGCCTTCTCCTCCCAGAAACAAACTACAATGCAGCTGTTGCTTGATTTCGGATTTTTTTATCTCAAAGATGGGTTGCTGTCTCCAGATAACGAGCTTCATCTGCCCAGGAATATTCCAAATTATTCGTGCACGATTTATTTTTACAAGCCATTGAAGTGAAATGCACCTTGAAGTTACTAGAAACCTCATGCAAAAAAATGTATCTCAAAATGATGTAGTTCATCACAGGATCTATAGGTCGAAGATCAAAATGATAACAAATGTTTAAAAAACGACATCTTAGAAGGTGTTGACACGCCAAAGATCGTTAGGACAAAACATTTTCCTTCAAGAAACTGTGACAGACAGACGAAAAAGAGAGGCAGAAGAAATTGTCTGAACACGATATAAGAGAGTGCACTTTGGGTGAGCACCTAGGATGGTGTAGGACTCAGTGGTATGGAAGAAGCTGGTCAAATAGACACTAATGTTGTTCTTCACTCCACCTAGACAATGTGGCCGTTAAAAAGGAAATTATTTAATGTTTTAAATTATAAAGTTATAAATGGCTGTAAGATATCCATGTATTATACAACTATTTCAATGTTATAAATTTTTGGATACAAGTTAGTAACAGATATTGAAACGTATTACTGACAAATACATGTGTTACTTTGAAGATTCTTCAACATCATATGGGACTGCCTTATCGACGTGTTCAAATCAAACTCCGACAAATGCAAGCAGTGGCAGCTGCCCATGTTGTTGGCACTCCAGAAGACGGCCATGCCCTCGTTGTTTGGGATGAAGCTCAATAGGGACCAGGTGGCCAAACTCGAGGTCAGGGCCATGTTCTGTCTGTCTGATGTCGCTTTCTTCCAATGTCTGTCTGATGTCGCTTTCTTTCATTGTCTGTCTGATGTCGCTTTCTCCCATTGTCTGTCTGATGTCGCTTTCTTCCATTGTCTGTCTGGTGTCGCTTTCTTTCATTGTCTGTCTGATGTCGCTTTCTCCCATTGTCTGTCTGATGTCGCTTTCTTCCATTGTCTGTCTGATGTCGCTTTCTGCCATTGTCTGTCTGATGTCGCTTTCTGCCATTCTCTCTGTCTGATATCGCTTTCTTCCATTGTCTGTCTGATGTCGCTTTCTGCCATTCTCTCTGTCTGATGTTGCTTTCTCCCAATTCTGTCTGTCTGATGTCGCTTTATCCCATTCTTATCTGTCTGTTGGATATAACTCTTTTTCTAATTCATGTTAGTTAAAATGTTTATTTTATATTTTTCGCAATATTATCGCAATGATCAATTTAAATCTATAACGAAATTTATATGTATGAGTTATAGCTAGTTATCTATTATTCACTAAGGTTTTTTTTTTGTCTGTCGAGTATTCCTAAAATAAAATTGTAATTAGAACAACGATTATGTTGTTTACTTTAGGATTAAACTTTATTTTCATACAAAACAGAGATTTCACTGATCGTATCAATAGCCGGCCTTACTAGAATACATTTAAAACCATAAAAAATGTTGTTACAAGTAGAATCCAACTTTTTAATGTGCTGTACAATAAACAATGTTGTATTTATTATCTGTGTCCTCTCAGCTCGAAGACGCCAGTAAACTCCCCACGACTAAAGCGCCCCCTGTTGACACGTGCAAGCACGACAATGACAACGTTTTGTTGCTGCTTAAGATATTAACGGATAAATCCCAGGCTAAGAAGGGAGATTTGTTGTTACAGATCAACTCGGAAAGTGGGAAGGTCAGGTCATGTATTCTGTACATATTATATATCTGCATACCCACCGCATATATATATATATATATATATATATATATATATATATATATATATATATATATATATATATATATATATAGATATAGATATAGATATAGATATAGATATAGATATAGATATAGATATAGATATAGATATAGATATAGATATATATGACTGCATATCTAGATGTGCTTTTTGATTGAACTAGTTTTGACCACTGTTAGTTTTAACTACATAGTAAGTTTAGTCCATTTTTATTTTTGAACACTGCTAGCAACTATAACCACTACCATGCAGACAGATCTGACCACAGCTATACAGCCAGATCTGACCAGATCTACACAACTAGATCTAAATACTGCTAGGTTTTCACACTATCCAATCCCCCTTTCAGCCAGAGCTAGTGGTGGCCGGTGACAAGGTCCAGTGTGTTAACTTTCTAATTCCCCCTCCAGCTAGTGGTGACCGGTGACAAGGTCCAGTGTGTTAACTTTCTAATCCCCCTTTCAGCCAGAGCTAGTGGTGGCCGGTGACAAGGTCCAGTGTGTTAACTTTATAATTCCCCTGCCAGTGACAAGGTCCAGTGTGTTAACTTTCTAATTCCCCCGCCAGCTAGTGGTGGCCGGTGACAAGGTCCAGTGTGTTAACTTTCTAATTCCCCCGCCAGCTAGTGGTGGCCGGTGACAAGGTCCAGTGTTAACTTTCTAATTCCCCTTCCAGCCAGAACTAGTGGTGGCCGGTGACAAGGTCCAGTGTGTTAACTTTCTAATTCCCCCGCCAGCCAGAGCTAGTGGTGGCTGGTGACAAGGTCCAGTGTTAACTTTCTAATTCCCCCGCCAGCTAGTGGTGGCCGGTGACAAGGTCCAGTGTGTTAACTTTCTAATTCCCCCGCCAGCTAGTGGTGGCCGGTGACAAGGTCCAGTGTTAACTTTCTAATTCCCCTTTCAGCCAGAGCTAGTGGTGGCCGGTGACTATGTCCAGTGTGTTAACTTTCTAATTCCCCTTCCAGCCAGAGCTAGTGGTGGCCGGTGACAAGGTCCAGTGTGTTAACTTTCTAATTCCCCCTCCAGCCAGAGCTAGTGGTGGCCGGTGACAAGGTCCAGTGTGTTAACTTTCTAATTCCCCCTCCAGCCAGAGCTAGTGGTGGCCGGTGACAAGGTCCAGTGTGTTAACTTTCTAATTCCCCCTCCAGCCAGAGCTAGTGGTGGCCGGTGACAAGGTCCAGTGTGTTAACTTTCTAATTCCCCCTCCAGCCAGAGCTAGTGGTGGCCGGTGACAAGGTCCAGTGTTAACTTTCTAATTCCCCTTCCAGCCAGAACTAGTGGTGGCCGGTGACAAGGTCCAGTGTGTTAACTTTCTAATTCCCCCGCCAGCCAGAGCTAGTGGTGGCTGGTGACAAGGTCCAGTGTTAACTTTCTAATTCCCCCGCCAGCTAGTGGTGGCCGGTGACAAGGTCCAGTGTGTTAACTTTCTAATTCCCCCGCCAGCTAGTGGTGGCCGGTGACAAGGTCCAGTGTTAACTTTCTAATTCCCCTTTCAGCCAGAGCTAGTGGTGGCCGGTGACTATGTCCAGTGTGTTAACTTTCTAATTCCCCCTCCAGCCAGAGCTAGTGGTGGCCGGTGACAAGGTCCAGTGTGTTAACTTTCTAATTCCCCCTCCAGCCAGAGCTAGTGGTGGCCGGTGACAAGGTCCAGTGTGTTAACTTTCTAATTCCCCTGCCAGTGACAAGGTCCAGTGTGTTAACTTTCTAATTCCCCTGCCAGTGACTAGGTCCAGTGTGTTAACTTTCTAATTCCCCTTCCAGCCAGAGCTAGTGGTGGCCGGTGACAAGGTCCAGTGTGTTAACTTTCTAATTCCCCTGCCAGTGACTAGGTCCAGTGTGTTAACTTTCTAATTCCCCTTCCAGCCAGAGCTAGTGGTGGCCGGTGACTATGTCCAGTGTGTTAACTTTCTAATTCCCCCTCCAGCCAGAGCTAGTGGTGGCCGGTGACAAGGTCCAGTGTGTTAACTTTCTAATTCCCCCTCCAGCCAGAGCTAGTGGTGGCCGGTGACAAGGTCCAGTGTGTTAACTTTCTAATTCCCCCTCCAGCCAGAGCTAGTGGTGGCCGGTGACAAGGTCCAGTGTGTTAACTTTCTAATTCCCCTGCCAGTGACAAGGTCCAGTGTGTTAACTTTCTAATTCCCCTGCCAGTGACTAGGTCCAGTGTGTTAACTTTCTAATTCCCCTTCCAGCCAGAGCTAGTGGTGGCCGGTGACAAGGTCCAGTGTGTTAACTTTCTAATTCCCCTGCCAGTGACTAGGTCCAGTGTGTTAACTTTCTAATTCCCCTTCCAGCCAGAGCTAGTGGTGGCCGGTGACAAAGTCCAGTGTGTTAACTTTCTAATTCCCCTGCCAGTGACAAGGTCCAGTGTGTTAACTTTCTAATTCCCCTTTCAGCCAGAGCTAGTGGTGGCCGGTGACTATGTCCAGTGTGTTAACTTTCTAATTCCCCTTTCAGCCAGAGCTAGTGGTGGCCGGTGACTATGTCCAGTGTGTTAACTTTCTAATTCCCCCTCCAGCCAGAGCTAGTGGTGGCCGGTGATAAGGTCCAAGACGGTAAAGACGTGGACAACTACATCAAGCAGATGCTGGAGAACGAGGCCACGTCCCTGTCGGCAGACCAGATCAAACAGATGAGGAAAGAGTTGAAGAAGAAAAACAAGGTAGGCACGCGCTAGATGAGATCTTCTTCTTCTTCGTTCTTAATTATCAGTGTTGAAGGGGATCGAGATTTATCTGCCAGTGGGTTTGAATTCGAGACTTTGTACGAATTTATCAACCTTGAGCTTTTTGCCAACTCGACCACGCCTCCAACACAATTAAGCGTTACGTGTCAACTGGTTATGCGCCATTTAGGCCATTGACTCCGATTTCAGCCTGCTTTTCTTTTTGGATTTGCTTCCATAGCCTTTGTCCAACCAAGAACAAACTACAAGGCAGCAGTAGTTTAATTTTGGAGTTGTCTCTCTTAGAAGAGTGGCTGTCCCCAGCTAACGAGCCTCATCTGCCTCGAGACTGTTCGGTTTAGCAACCATGAGCTATACCGATTCGACCGAAGCCGAACCCTGCTAGATGAGATAATTAAACTGGTTGTAGTGGAAGCTGTTCTCCTTTTTAACTTTTAATTGTGGTGGCAATGATGAAAGTTACTTTGCCAGGTTATTTTAAAATAATTTGCATTAGTGAATGTCTATATTAGCAATGCAGTAGTGTCTTCATAGGCAAGTCCTCAACAAAACATTTTGTACTGTTAACGATTACAGACTTAAATTGAATTCTTTGGATTAGTTCCCTTCCCAGTATTTACTTCCCTTGAAATGTGATTCTATTTTTAGGATATAAAAAACTACATCAATCGCATAAAGCAAGCTCAGAACAAAAGCAAGCAAGACAAAAAGGGGAAAACAGCAAAGCCAAAAATAGTTGATGAAGATGAAATGATGATTAACAAATAAATAAACACGTCCACACAAAGGCATGTTTCAAGGGGAAGTAACTATCTATCAACACAACCTGAGTTATGATGCTTAACTGTGTAGTTAAATATTAATTTTCTGACGTACTCAATGAATTTATGAGGTTGTACAAAACACAATCAGTTGCTGATGGGATACAACTCTGCCTAACACAAACTAACCTTTAAAATGTGCAATACATTCATTAACACTAACAGAATATGGAATATGAAATTTTATTGCTTATTATAACAATGATTCTTGTGATAAATTATTGAACTGTTTTCTATGTTTTTAATGTCTTCTATTCCTTAAAATAAATTATCGTGACATTTTTAAAGTAAGGTTTAAAAAAAACAATACCATGAAAGTTACTGTTTTTTTAAATATGGGTGTATTAAATTCTTTTGGAAAATAACTGTATCTTCTTATTGAGGAAAGGATTTAATTAGGTTTTCTTCAAGGTTTCCTAAGCAGCTAATTATTGCCGAGCGTTACATGCAATAAAATGTTTCAGCCAAGAAATAAGGGAGAAGTTAAGAACATGAATATTACAGCAAAAAAATAACCATTTAGAACATTTTTGTCTTTGCTTCTTATTTATCTGAATTTATTGTTTAAAATGTAATATTATTTTGTCCATCATTGTGTATCTCCAAAAGCAACATCTGACCCAAGGATAAATTGGTCCTATTTTTTCTACTATGGTCAAATCCTGAGAGTGACACTTTTTTCTGAAAGTCAGCTTTGTTTAGACTGTTATAATTAGAGTTAGACTTTTCAAAGTCTGCTTTGTTTAGAATAACTATAGAGCAAAACTTGTTCAAAAATTCTCCTCTGTTTAGATTAAATATAGAGCACGACTTTTTTCCTGAGAGTCTGCCCTGTTTAGACTGAGAAGCTCACTAGCTTAGACAGACAAGTATTTTATAAGGCATGTTTGCATTACAAATTTTATAATGCTTCGTAAATAATGTCATAAATATTGTAATTAATAAAGCTAATTTTTGTCTAGTCAACACAGCTTTTGAAAATATTTTGTTTCTTAACAGTTGTTAAAATTTCTGTTTATCACAGTATTTAAAAACCATGTTCTATATCCAAAAATAACTTGAAAAGTCAGGGACTGATAGGCATGTGACAGATTTATTGTATATACATCAATCATGACATAAACAAGACATAGCTAAAGAAGAGGTTTGATGGCAAATACATATGATATGAAGCTACACCCAGTGAAGCTAGGACCTCCATGTTACTTCAACTTCATCCGTCCTATATCTACAAGACAGAAAAATATAAAAGTAAATGAAAAACCACAACATTAAAATACTTCAAAAGACAAGAAACAATACATTTTAATTTTACACAATCAATAAGACCTGAATGATCTGTATTCCTTGCTAACTTGCACAATGCAAGTTTTAATCATTCCCTCCTTTATTCATGTATATCCTACCATGAATTATGGCAATACATCTATTTCTTTTAATATTTACATTTAAATGCTTTTTTTATATTTGACATTTGTATTTGATCTCACCTTTGTGTACAAGTTGTCTGCTCTAAAGGTGTGACTATGCCAGTCCGGAACATCTCCCACCCTGCCTGAGCTATCATGGCACCGTTGTCAATACAAAATCTGGGTACACGGAAATACAAAAGATACATTGGTTACACAATACGAAATCTGGGTACACGGAAATACAAAAGATATATTGGTTACACAATACAAAATCTGGGTACACGGAAATACAAAAGATACATTGGTTACACAATACAAAATCTGGGCAAACAAAAATATAAAAGAAACATTGGTTACACAATACAAAATCTGGGTACACGGAGATACAAAAGATACATTGGTTACACAATACAAAATCTGGGCATACAAAAATATAAAAGAAACATTGGTAGAACTGTACAAGGTGGCCACACTTTATGCAAGGGTTCTCATCATATACAGGCTGCAGCCCCACTCCACACTAGACTAGAGATCACAAAATTTTTTAATGACCACAATACCATTTTAAAGACTAAAAAACCAATGAATGTGGTTTCAATTAGGTGACCACAACACCATTTCATCATCATCCTTTGATGCCCAAGACACATGAAGTAGAGTTCATCTGTTTCAATGACCTCAGCATAAAAGGGGATAGTGTGGTCAGCACTATGCCCAGCTGCCTTTGTTTCACTAACCTAGTCACCCATCAAAGCTGGGTGGAGTCAGCCACATCCTAGACTTGAGCCCAGGATCAGACTTCCAGGTTGGCACTAGCACTCTACCTCTTGCCCATGCCACCCCCCCCCCCCTCCCCAACACATTTTTAATGAGCACAAATAATATCTGTTCAACTTTAAAATGAATATACAAAATGGTCTTTATGAGAATAGGGTGGAATTTTTGTGACTATTTAAATAAAACCTTTTTTCCCTTCCTACTTTACCAACTGAAGTTGAAGTAAATATTGCTGTAGTACAAGGGTCTCCAAACTTTTCAGTCCGAGGGCCGCATTAACTATTAAATTTCAGTTCGGGGGCCAGTTTCTTCCAGGCATGTCTTTGATTTTTCTGGGCAAAGTTCCTCAGTTATCAGCAACAAACGTTTTTTCCGTGGACAAAAATATCCCCGCGGCCAGATGAGAGGACCTCGCGGGCCACATCCGGCCCGAGGGCCGTAGTTTGGAGACCCCTGGTGTAGTATAAGCTAGACTCTAACCTTTCATCAGTAGCATACAGAGTTGCTCCCCTTTCTTCAGCCATGATGGCCATCATCTCTTGTAACCTTTTATTACCTGATAGAATAAAAGTTTCTTTCATCAACACAAATTTTAAACAATCAAAAAAAAAAAAATACTAATATAAAACAATAAAAAAAACATTGTCTGAAGAAATGTAGTAAAAAACTTTCAAGTACTTACATCCCACACCTCCTACAATTAAAACTTCCTCTGATCCACAATGAGCCATGGCACGTTCTAATCAATGGTGAAGAGAAGATAATAGAAACATTAAATCACTCATCTAATAAACCAATGTGTCTAAACTACAGTGAAGAGAAAGTAAAAACATTACAGCATTCTTTATTATATGTTTATATTTAAGCTACCAAAAATATTAGCCACTTGGATTTATAAACAAAAATTTTTTAAATGTCGCTCAATATTTTGATTGGTAATAATTTTCTTTTATAAATAAATACATTTTTAAATAAATACAAAAGAACATTAATAGTGGCTAAGCTCTAAGCATTTAATAATTTTATAAACTGAGTTCAGTTAACTTAAAGCTTTAAGGTCTTATAATATAATTTGCAATAGGTAATCAATAGTAAAGCTGACACAATACCTGTAATTTCTATGAGCATAGCAAAAACTGTTTCCTGTAGTGAGAAGCACAGGTCCTCTGGTGTATATTCTTTACTTTCAAGTAGAGCTGGCGCTTTTTCCTGAAGGTGAATGAACAGTGTAACCATACTTCATCTACCTGATGCTTTTAATTAACTACCTGAAGCTATTTGATGAGGATAAATATTTTTTACCTCTATGTAAGATAAAAGTCCAGAAAATGAGACATCCATTCCTTTAACAGCATAAGGCATTTCAAGGAATTTTTTACCCCTAAAAAAAGAAAACTATTTTTAGTTTGCAAAACAGTTTGCTAAGGCATATAGGTACATAATAGCAAATACATTTTTTCAATAATGTTTCTTAACTAGAAAGTTGTTTTTTTAAAAACATTCCCCACTAAAAATATACTTAGTTACCACCATCAAGCTATTAAGGCCACTTAAAGCCAATTTGACAAAAATTGGTTTCCTTAAGATTCAGATAACAGGATTTGTAATCGAAACAAACTCACTTTTTAGCCAGTTGTTCAATATTGTAACCAGGACTTGGATCATTTGAGAGCTGAAAAAATTAGTTTAAGATTTCTGATCAATCCTGAATATTCATGTCATCAAGCTTGAACCACATCACCATTGTAACTGTTTAACCACAAGTTAACAGTACAAGATAATGTAATTTAAAAAGTTGCACAAAACAATGTAGATGACAAACAATATCAAACATACAAAACTAACAATTACCTTTAGTACTCTAGCAAATCTATCCAGGCAATTTCCAACTGCAATATCAATGGTTTCTCCAAATATTCTATAGCACTTTTCTAGATAAGCAATTACCTGTTAAAAAAAAACATTTCCAAAATCAAACACACAACCATTATATTCATCTGATGATGTAGAACTAGATATACCAAACTATTCAATAGCAACACCAAATGCTGTTTATTCAGTTGCTTTAATCATGAAATATACCTGTGTATTGCCACCACTAACATATAGGACGGTGGGATTTTGTGCTCCAGTGATCAAGCGACCCATTTCAATATCTTTATGTAGTTAAGGACAGATGCTTGTTTAAATTTACAGTGTAGAGTTTAAAATCAACCCACTGCATTTAATCAATTAATTGATTTTTAAAAGTTATGGTTAACTTAGCAACTGTTTTGCATATATAATATACCCCTCAAAAAGTGAAATTATATTTAGAGCTTAGGATACGACCAATGCAATGATTGACTGCTACTATAGGTTTATTCCACAACTGGGCAACTGTTCGCGCCACGAGTGCTGTTGATACTAATGGAGCACCCATACCAGGACCTGCAAAAGTTGACAAAAAATGTCACGTCAAGCATGGAGTATAAAAACTAAAGATTCCTCTTTAGACCTAGTGATCCATTGGACAGGTGAAGTAGAGTTCATAAGGTTCTTGACCTCAGTATACAAAGGGATAATGTGGTCAGCACTATGCCCAGCCGTCATTACTTTTCCTAATGTAAGGTACCCATTCCAGTGACTTGAACCCAGATTCAAACTCAAGACTTTTGGGTTAGCAGTCTAGCACTCTACCACTAGGCCACAATCCCAAAGCATGGTGTATAGTTATTTAATCAGCAAAGAACTATTCAACTGTTTTAAACATTAATTTGTCAACTCTTTAAATAACAAAAATTATCAAAATAATAAAATGCTGGGTTTTTTTATTTACTCAGTAAATATTCACCTTTAGTATAACAAATAACATCAATTTCTTCTGGCTTGATGTTAGCCTCATCTAAGGCTTGTTTCAAAACATCAAGTGCATGCTCTCTGTGATGTTTAGCTGTGTCTTTGGGAAGAAACCCTGAAGGAAAGTAACAAAATGTTATTTCTGTCTAGGACTGACTCAAAATTAACCTATCTAAAAGTTTCACACAAACAACTTACAACTATAGTCGATGTTATATATCCTTTGATTTACTAAAAGTTAATCCATCTAAAAGTATTACCAACAACTATATTCAATATTATTTGTATAGCTTTCACTAAAAGTTAATCCATCTAAAAGTATCACCCACAACTAAATAAAGCAGCATTTGCACATCTTACCTTGACCTGGTGGTGTGATGTATGTATGCCTTGGGTTAGATAAGACAACTCCATCTTTAACAATGCCAATGCCTAGCTTATTAGCACTCCCCTCAAATCCTATAGCAATGACCATTTTTTGTGTTCACCTAAATAAGCTAAGATATTTACAAAAAAAAATTAAAATAAAATATAAAACTATATTCATATCATTAAGTAAATAATTCAACAAGCACAAAAAACAAGTTAATTAAAAAGTCTAGTGACATTTAAGCGCAATTTCCTTATGTTATCTCAAAATAGCTCTGTCGTAGCGTAAATCAAGAGCAGGGTTAGTAAAACCATTGGTTAGTTATTTTTTTTCTTCAGTATTTTACATGTTTTATTTACAATAGAGTTACATGACTAAAAACCATTGCGCGCCTAGCTACTGAACGTGATGACGCAGCCATTGAACGTTATGGCGCAGCTATTGAACGTGATGACGCGTGTGGTGTGTGTGGAAAAAATGCCTACTAATTCGGTCAAAATTTTAATTAAATCAAAAAAATTTTTGTGACCGAACGAAAGGATATTTTTGAAAACTTTCTTCGGCAATATTGTTCTAAATTATGGCAGGAATCGATTGGTACATGTTTCAAGTCGTTAAGTGGTCTGGTTGCCGAGATATGGGCCAAAAACTGCATTTTTAAAAGGTTTTTTGGCTTTTCCGGGAAATCCATGAAAGAAACCCGGAATGTTTATGGCCTATGTTCATCCTGGTAACTTGCTTAACATAATTGCTTTTGGAACTAGTCCTCGATATTGCTTCGTTGAGGAGGAGATACGACTCAAAGCTGCGGACACACATTCATCCATCCATTCATTCATTCATCCATCCATTCCCAGAAATGACGAGTTAATAAACGCAATTCTCCAGAATGGAAATTGCGCTAAAAATATGTGTTAAAAAGGTGTATGTCATCTCAAAAGTAGTGGTTTGTCATGTAGTTATACACAGGGTGTTATGTTACAAAGCTGTTATATCCCAAACTCCATATTTTAACTGGAAATGTAGGGGATCATCTTATTGACAGAATATATTGTAGGCCTCCTATAGGCCTTTTTTCTTTTTTTAAATTGTGTCCTTATGTGAATGAAAGCCAGCGGTTTATGGAAATGTACATTTATAGCCTAAATTTTATATGCTAACATTAACAGAAAATTATTAAATTCATTATGAAGGTTGATTAATTAATTTTTGTTAAGGCACAAGCGTAAGACATAATTACATTACGAGTAACCTAATCAGTACATCTAATACTACATGAGTGGGCATAGTGATACTACTCTACTATTATTAAATTATTAGAATTAGACCTATATACTATATAGTATTCTACTAGCTGCATATCCGTGCTTTGCCACGTTTTTTTTTAAATGTACCAACCTTTGAACTTGGGAAAAGAACAAAACCAAACACAAATGAAAACAAATATGCAAATGCAACACAAAGACTAAAGACAAATGCAAACACAAAAGAAATACAAACACAAACTTAAACACAAACGTTTTATCAAATGGCTATATTAAACAAACGGGCATGTATGAAATGCTCTAACAAAAGTCAGTGCAATTTGCCCTCATTCCCCAACCCACGATATATTAGAATCACTGCTGAACAACATGATTTCCCACATTCTTTAACTCTAATAAGTAATAAGTCTAATTTAACCACCGGTTTAAATAACACCCAAAAACAGTGATTTTTTAAAGAGAGAAATAAACAAAAACTATACTATAGGGTCCCTAGGCCTATCTATTTTAATTATGAGCCTTAACTTCTACTTATTACACATTACAAGTTATTTTATAATTTTATTAGTCAAATATTAGATCTAGATATTCTAGTGTAGGCTTTAGTCTTTAGGTAATAGGAAATAGGTAGATCTAGATCTAGGCCTTAGCCTGGCTTTTACTTTTACTTTTTTACTAAAAAAAAGTTTTAGCCAATCCGCAGTTTGTAGTGATTGTTTTGGGGAATAGTTAAAATTTAATTTAAACTCACTTTTAGTCAGTTAAAGTCTCTAGGCTACAAATAATTTAGATAGCGCCTAATTTTATTTGGGCCTAATATATTTAAATATTTAGTAGGCCTACAGATTTTACAAAGCAGCAGTTATATGGGGGCTGCCATGTTGTAACTTAAAAAACCAACCTCATGTAGATCTATGTCTAGCCGCAGTTCAATATTTTTGTAAATTAGATCCCATTATTAAGGGCAAGTAAAATACAAAATATATAATACGAGCCGACCCGCGGCGTATCATACGCAATTATTTAGTTGTTTTATTTTCTACTTTTCAGTATTTCATAATTTGTGAATTGGAAATTTGTGAATTCGAAATTTTTTTACCGCCCACCCCCCGCCCCGAACGAAATGAAATTTATATAATTTATAAAGAAAATATATACTTATAACAGTGTCCGCCCCCCCCCCCCCCCCCCCGAAGAAAGTCTACCGCCCCCCCCCCCCCCCCCGGAGAAAAAAGTCTGGAAGAAACACTGCTGCTGTCACTGAAAATATTTGCTTTAAAACACTATCAGTAAGTCGTTAAGGACGATAACCCCCCCCTCCTTTCCCCCAACCCCTAACCCGGGCAGTAACCCCCCCCCCCCCCCCCCGTGAAAGCAGCCTCCTCTTAGCTACCTCCCCTAAGTTTAAAATAGTTTCAAACTAAATTATCTGCCCCTAATAGCCGTCACTAAACCTGGCTCTACAATTGTAAACAATTAGCGTGAACCCCAGCTCACCAGACTTCCTAGAGAGGAAGAGAGGGGACTGCAAGGAGCGCTTACAGCTTGTTTTCTAACGTCTCCAAGAAGAGAATTATATATATAGATAATATAGGCCTATACTTTAACGCTTGTCCACCCACACCTATACCCGTGAAAAAAAAATCGAGCTAGATTCTGAATATAATATAGATCTAGATCTATCATATACATCTAATACTGCCAACATTTAGGCCTATAATAATATTTTTTCTCGGGCGGGGGCAAAATGGTTACTCGAAATGACGAGGCTGTAAAACGCGAGAAGAATTTGAGACAATCGTGACCCGAGGAATGATTAAATTGCGAGATACAATTATCGAGACATTTTTGCTTTTAATGTTTTTGGTTTTTATATTTTGACGATTTCAAGCGTCTAATGCGCCCTTTAGAGTGAGTTCGATCAAAAGTTAACAGATCTTTTGCGTTTGGAGGCTTACTCCCCCCCCCCCCCCCCTCCCAACGCCGAATATCTTAGCCTTTTCCTTTTCTTAAGAAAATTGAAAACGTACACCGTACTCCTTTTTTTTCAAAACTAGAAAAATAAGAACTTCCAAACACCGTTGGGTACTTCCTCGAGGTCTACACCACGTTGCTGACCCCCTCTGCTTAGATCAGTAGCGTAGCGAGGGGGGGGGGGACATACGTCCCCGGGCGCCGACCTTAGGGGGGGGGCGCCAAATTGAAAGTTTGAGGGGGGGGGGTGCAAATGAAAAGTTCGAGGGGGGGGTGCAAATCGAAAGTTTGAGGGGGGGGGGGTGCAAATCAAAAGTTTGAGGGGGATGCAAATGAAAAGTTCGAGGGGGGGGGGTGCAAATCGAAAATTTGCTCCCAAGGGGGCGACAAATTGAAAGTATGTCCCCGGGCGCCGGGAAGGGTCGCTACGCCTCTGGCTTAGATCCCTACTGTATAGTATTACTATTAGTTTTACTATTAGTATTACTATAGTGTATAGTTTATTCGCCCACAGTATTATCTCTCTTGTCTACAGTAGATCTACATATCACATAGGCCTACTTATTTAGACCATTAATTAGACTACTGGTCTAAACAAGTATCTTAAAATTTTTAAATAAAAGTAGAGCAATCAGAATAGGCCCCAGTCTAATTTCACTTAGGATAATTAGTCTGTTTTTGTTGTTTTGTAAAAATTACGCCACTTGGCGTTATTTAGCCCAACCTTATAAATGATAAGCGGAGTTCACCGGAATGTTTATATTTAGAAACAATATAAAATAAAATAAAAGAATGGGTTTTTAAAACAAATACTCTAGTCTAGATCTAGCTTCCATTCTAAATACTAGATCTAGATCTATACGGTAATATATAGAAATAATATAGTATCTAGATCTATATGAAAATAGGCCTATAAAAAAGAGAAAAGGGCTATTTGAAACTATTTCTCTAGATTTTGATTTTAGATCCAGCGCCTAGACTGCCCTGCCCTAGACGTAGGTAGACTGTAGTGTACTAAGTGTAGACTCTACCGTACGTCGTAGAATTTAGATCTAGACATCTAGATCTAGTCACAATTTACTAATTTAGTGAAGACGTCTTAGCTAGTGTAGTAGATTCTACAAATGTTGTGGAAATCTCCACACTTACTTACCAGATTGTAACAGTGAGACCACAACGGATGGGCTTTGTGCACACCAAACAATTTAATAAATTATTTAGATTTAGTAATAGTTAGGCCTATCACTTCACCCTGGTATTATGATTTTTTTGGGGGCTTAACTAACAATAATAAATTAAATAGTAATTACTGTAGTAATAGGCCTAAGTCAAAACGAATTTTTTTGACTAAATGTAATATGTCATTGTCTGCTAACAGTGAAGTCCTGAGTTTGGTTCCTGGTGTTACCATCCAGGAGAAACTTGTTCAAATTGACTTATCATTGTTCCTATTAAGAACAAAGGAAAGCAGATAGGCCCCTAATCATAAATTCCTAGATCTAGAAGAAATCTTATTATGTACTGGCATATAGATCTAGATCTACATGAAAGAGTGATTTATTTTTTAGGCCTAATTTTTAAAAATTTTGATGTCTCCAAGTATCTTTCTCATATTTTCCAAATAAAACTTTCAGATTAGTTGCTGGAATAGAAAGTAAAGATGAGCAAAAATTCAGGAATAGCTTCACCTGGGGCTGGCAGTATCCGTGGTGATGTATCATTTATTAGAGCAACATCAGGGTCAGGCTCATCCTTGTCAAGCTCCAATCAAAATTTGGATAAAATCACACCACATCATGTAAACCAACTACCATCGGCCGCGCCTAGGCTTTCCCAAGACATGCCAATCCAACCTCATCTTTATCATCAACAACATCACCACCACCCCCGCCCACTTTCACAGCAACAACACCAACAGTCACACCAACATCAGTATGTTCCAGAACATATGGAAGGACAACAGTATCTGCTAAAACAACCTCATGGAGCTTGTGGCGCCAGTGGTGACTCTGCTGGAAGAGTCCAGTCTGCACATACAGGGGTGGAAGGCTGGAGTGACAGGGAAGAAACTCTGGCTGCAGAATTAGAAGAGGCAAAAATTAGAGTATCACAGATGGAGAAAACCATGAGGTGGTGGTCAGATTGTACCTCGAATTGGCGAGAGAAGTGGAACAAGGCAAGAAACGAGCGCAACAAAGCTAGAGAAGAAAACAGAATTTTGAGAGCAAAGCTAGAGGCTCTTGCTAAAGAGTTTTCAAGGGTCAAAAGGGAGAATAAAGAAATGTTTGTTGAGAAGGAGAAGGTTCAGGAATGTAGCCAAGTTCCATCAATTTCTAGTCTAAATCAATCACAAGAAAAACTAGTAGAGTTGTCAGAAAAAGAAAAGACAATTTTGGCATTATCTAATGAAAAGGAGTTTGAAAGTCTAGATGACCTAAGTGAAACATCTTCATCGGTATCTAAGATCTCTAAAGATAAATTAGATGAGAAAGAAATTGATGATACAGACAGATCAACAACCCATGAAGAATCTGTAACAGGGGAGCGAACCTACATGGTTGCTGAAATATCAGAGAGGCTTACCCAGCTTCAAGAAAGGCAAGCCCATCTTGAGCAACAGCTTGCACAGGTAACTTCTTCTTATAGAAACCCTGTTATCTTCTCTAGTACCATGAACAGTTTGCACATGTAACTTCTTATTGAAACTCAATTATCTAATACTATGAATTAGTCCTGTATGGACTAATCTAGCACATAATTTCATTAAGAGTTAAATTCTACAAAGCATTTAGATAGTTTTTCCTCTTATATGTATTGTATTAATAGTTCAAAGGTAATTAAGGTATTGTATTTCTAATAATAGTTTTCTCTTTTTGTTACTATTTAAAACAACAGTTTTGTTAATACAGTTAACATTTTTAAAATGAGTAAAACTGAATAATTTTTGAAGAGCCAATCAAAAGCGTCGCAAGCGGAGGAGAATGTAATGGAGATGCAGCGCAAATTGGATGGAGCAAACAACACAATCCAAGCTGAGAAAATGTTTGTTGCTTTATATCTCTACAACTCTACACCATTCTTTCATAACCTTTACTGGCTGAGCATTAAAATTAAAAACATTTACTTCACATTTGGTTGAGTAAAATTTATAATGGTTAATTTTTCAATGTCATTATATTATATGCAGTATAATTGTTGCTTTAATCACTATCAAGGTCATTTTAGGTTTGAGGGGGTGAAAGTGTTATTTTTAAGTGGCATCCATAAAGTTCGATGTTTGTATTATGTAATCCATTTGTTTTTGTATTTGTTTCTGCAGGGAAAACTCAAACCATCTCAAAGTGATTGATAAGCTTCAGAAAGAACTGAAAGAGGTTAACAGCAAACTAACAGATGAGTTACATGGGAAACAGCAACTGATGATGCAGGTTTGTGCTATGTTACATGACAAAGTAATCATTCATTTAAAGCTTTATTAAATATGTTGTGGACAAACTGTATTCACCCTTTGTGTAACAGTTTCACTAACAGTTGACTATTGATTGCATTAGAGTGCTGAGTGGTTTTATACCTTTTTTAGAACCTCCACTTAACATAGCCTTAATTTACTTATTAAATTATTCAAAATAAGTCTTGGTATTGTTGAATCAAGGCAAATAACTGCATGAGTTGTAACTAATAAATCCACAATTTTGTCCTGCATAACAAGTGTTTGTTTGAATATTTATGCATCAGAGAAGTACAGACTCTGAGCTCTCCTTAGATGGGGTAAGACAGAACATGTTTTCTTGCATTTACTGTTGTGTCCTCTGTTAAGTCTTTATGTGTGTTAATTGCTTCTTGATATTGATTAAGTAAGCATAACTTCATTTATGAAAAAATTTAACTACATTGCTATTCTGTACAGTATAGAAGGGGTCTTAAATGTTTTTGTTTTATGGATCTCTTCTCCATAACTGTAAGTTATGGAAATCTATTAATGTACTCCTCAATGATTGGAGAAACTTGTTATGAAGTGAAGACAAAACTCTCAGTTTACAAGTGCTTTACTCCTGTGTTATTTGTTGCTTTAATTTTTCTCTAGCTTGTGTTATTAGCTACCCTAGTGAGTTATTACATCACTCATACTTTTTTGTTTGCTTGAGAATAATTTGATAGCTCTGAAAATTCTAACTCATTTTTTATAAACCTCTTTTTTTTTTTACAGAACTTTTGTTTACATTTTGCATGATCTGCTTGTTAGAATTTTTCTGCCTTTAAGATTGAGACAATAATATGATTATGACTAGAAGTAGGGTGTTGCTTTACCTACATTCTTGATGAATGCATAATTTCATTTCTTTACAAAGTTTCATGATCATTTCCAAAACGTTAATGGAAATTAATTTGCCAAATTTGCATCCATACTGAAATTATAATAGTGGGTCCTTAGTATTTATTGTACACTTGTAATTGATTTAGGCAGATATGTAGGAATCTCACATGCAATATAATTTAAATAGTTTGTGTATGCTACCAACACGTTATGTGAATAGAAAACTTAACTTTTTAGCCTAACCTAATTTTTTTATAAAAACAAATGGTATAGATTAAAGAAGCCTCTATAAACATAATGACTTAGATGAGATGATGGCCAATTACCCCCCCCCCCCCTCCCCTCATTAGCTGCCATGTTTTAACATAAGATCAAATACAGCAGATAGTTTTTGTGATCTGTGGCTGACCTCATGGCAAAAATAAGAAGAAAAAGCTAGAATAACATTACAAATGAATAGAGATTTAGCAAGGTAGCCATTTAATTTAAAAAGTATTTTTCAAGAAGTACTTACAATTTAGATTGATTATTGAACTTAATATTTTTACACAATTTTTTTTAAATTCACATGTGACACCCTACTAGAACCATAAAAAACATATTATTAATACATTCTTTAATTTAGGTTTATGATTTTTAAGAATTTCAACAAGTTGTGAAGTTAAAGGATTTTGAGCAGATTCTTTGTGTGTACAACTATAAATAAAATTATCATTTTTACTAACTGTGCTATATTGTAACCATCTTTATGTCACATTTTTTCAACATTTTTTAATAAGATTCAAAGTATTTTGTTTTAGACATAAAGAATATAGTAAGTTTTATTATAACATGTCCAGAGTCATCAGTTCAAACAAAACTACATCATCTGTTACTATAAATAATAATAATGAACTTATTGTGAAACATGTGGATATTGTATTGAATCTATGTGTTGTCTGTTTACAGAATGTGCATGTTCAAGTATATTTTAACTATAAGTGTACCATAGCCAATATATGAAATCTTAATGTGTTGATTTTGAGAAAATGTTTGACATTTCAGTTTGAGAAAATGAAAGAAATGCACCAAGAAGAGTTGACTCGCCTAACATTAGACCTAGAGGACGAGGCCTGCTCAAGAACAACCATGGACAAACGTGTTACAGAGTTGAGAAGAGAGGTAACTAACAATGGCTGCTGTCCACTGCTGCTCTTTTATAACTATTGGTTCATTCCAGCTTTAGGAGTAATGGTGCATTAAAAACAATAATCTGAGTGGCTAACAAAATAGACTGAAGTTTCCTTACTTAAGGTCACTTTGGAGTTGTCTTAAAAATATTTGACTTTAGGGCTGAAATTCAAATAAAATTATATTTCAGTTGGAACGCATCCAGGCTGATAATGCTGCGGAGTGGGCAAAGCGAGAGAGACTGGAGTCTGATAAACTTGCACTAGAGCGAGAGAACAAAAAACTGCGTATAGAGGTGCTTATCTTTTGTGTTATCTTAATTTAAAATATGTATCAACTGTGATATGCTTATCTTTTGTGTTATCTTTATTTAAAATATGTATCTACTGTTGATATTGCTTTGATTGTATTGTGATTTTGCTTATGATAACCCAGGTTGCAGATCTCCAGGAAGAATTAGAAAAAAGGAATCAAACCTCAACCTCCATGGCGGATTCAGACATAAAAACCCTACAGTTTGAGCTCACTGAAAAAACAAAAGTAAGCATTGAAATTATTTTATATATGTAAAATTAAATTACAATAAAAATTTTTTTTTTTAAACTTGATGAATCAAATGATTTTTTTACTTAGAAATTTATGACCAAAAGATTTTAAAAAATTAATCTGGTTGTGAAATATAACCGAACTAAATAAATTTAGGTAAAAAAGAACTGTTCTATAGTTACAGTGTATTTTTGTTCTTCAGGAATTGTCAGATTTGCGGCATGTACATAGCAAGTTGAAGAAAGCATTGACAGAAAGAAGCACTGAGCTGGAGCACACAAGGCGTAGAGCAGAACAGTACGAGACAGAAGTTCGTAAACTTAGGAGTCGTGTGGATGAACTCAAGCATGACCTTGCGGCGGCAGAAGATGAAGTATGTACAGAAAACTTTGTCCTTATAAATAATGGTTGGCTATTCAAATACTTGGGAATCATCTGGGCACCATTAGACTGAGCGCTGTAGGATATTTATTAGTTTTGGATGTGTTTAAAAAAAATGATTGATTTAATTTAAGATAAGATTAAATTTCTTCTGAATGTAACATGTTATTAATTTTAAAAAATAGCAATGAGAAATAATTTAAGAATTAATATGCATACACTTTGTAATATTTCAGTACTAATGTATGATAAAAATCAGTTAAGAGAAATCGGTTTTCTATAGTCTGATATTCAAACTAACACGAAATATTTTTATAATTCTTATTTATTAATAGTATTAATTGATAAGTAATCAACTTTCATATTTATAATTATTCTTTGTGGCGAACTAAAAAAAACAACTTTAATCTCTTTAGTTATCTAGCAGATTGTTTTTCACTAGCCTAGAATAAGCTCAACTTTTTATTCATGATCAGGTTGATAACCAAGGCAATGCAGCCCGTAAAGCCCAGAGAACAAATGATGAGCTTCAAGCTCAGGTTGAAAGTTTACAGGTGCAGGTCAATCACTTACAGTCAAGGTAAATACAGTTTTGGTTTGATTCATTTACAAGTTAGACACATCTGGGGTTTGGGTACACATTTGAGAAAATGAAACCAATGATTCCTTGAATAAGTACTTGAACCTGTGTCTGTTTGTTTATTTTTTTCAGATTACGTAGAAATCCAAACTCTGGGGCTCCCACACCAAGGTCAACAAGTCTCAAGTCCTTGACCTTGGAAGATTCAGCTGAGCTAGCTGATAGTGAAAATGATTTTGAGGACAATTAATTGACAACTCGACATTTTCAAAGATAAGAATCTCATTTTGTCATTTGTACTTGTACAATTGAGAAACTTTCTTTAGTTGTGAACATGTTTTGTTTTCTTCATTATGAGATTAGGATTTGTCAACTACCTAATGTATTGTACAGAAACCTAAATAAAATTGTATAAAAATGTGTCGACCCTACAACTTTCTTCTGTGTACAGCTAAAACAAAATGTAAAAGCATTCATTAATATTCACTAGATTAGCCCCTACAGCATCCATGATCTGTTCATATAGTTCTGTCTTGATTAAATGTGATGTAGCTAGTACATTTCATTGCTCAAATAAAACTGCTTTAAATTTCATTTAAAAGTACTAGGGTACTGAAATCTATATTGTGTTGATTTAAACCTGTAAATGACCACAAATCTACTTGTGCTTGGATTTTTCTACCCATATTTTCCTGGTGTTTGTCTTCCTGAATTAAGAATTATTATGTATTTTTTAAATTAGAACAACTGTAGTATTAAATGTAGTGTACTAACATGACCTAATACATTAGAATAACCTAATGTATTTTGTATAATTTATTAACCAGCTGATCTGAAATATGTAAAACAGCCATAACATTTTTTTCCACTATTTTACTACTTTTTCCTGCAAAACATTGTGTATATTTATTTATTTTTGTCAAATGCTCAGTCCTAATCTTATGTATCGAATTTTGTTTTTAAATATGTCAAATACATAAAATAATACAGCTGGAACATTATGCTACTGAATGCAGTACATGTTTTACATTGTCCACTTTTCAATGCTGACTTTCCAGATAAATAGAGCAATCAGGTAGTTCAAATCTCATTCATTTAATAGTTGAATTCACACTAAATTCATAATTTTTCCCATTTTGTAACAATTTTGGGTCCAAAAAAGGTGTAGAACAATTCATAAAGCTCAAATCTAAATTTAAAAGCTATTGATACACTACCTCACACCAATTAAAAAGAATTTGTTTCAATTTTTAAATTTATATTTATTTTGTAAATAAAGAAACAGCCATTACTTTATATGGGATTGTTTCTAATTATCAATTGGTTTGTGCAGCTATATTTATTTACACTTGTTATTTTTACTGTTTTATATTAGGAATCTTTCTTTGTATAAAACCATTTTAGTCATATTCTCTACCAGATTTTACATTTTTTTTAAACAATGCATTTTTCTGTACACATTGAATTTTAAATTGTACAAAACTATATTTTTTAAGTTTCTGTTGTAAATTTTATGCTGATATTAATCAAACTTGGTGTCTATGCAGCCATGTTTCTATTAGTTTACAGTAGTTTTTCTAACATTGTTTATATTTTTTTGAGGAGTTAAGTATGTTTACTCCAAAGAAAGAAGGATAAATGTTGTTAAACATTTTTTGCTGCCTGTTATACCAAACTGCGAAGGACTGAAATTATTTTTTTCTAAGACCACTGTTCTGTACCATTTTTTGACAGAATTACCAATAGCAGAAGTTTTAAAAGTATATAATAACCACTACTTTTTAAATTAAATTGTTATCATTTTTACATTATTGAAAATATAAAAGCTTAAAATTGTTAGTAATTTATATTTATCACACTTTATTTCCCCCTTTGTTCTCTGTGTGGGTTGTCTTAAAGCAGGTGTTTCTTTTGCTTACTTTCTACTACATTGAATTATATATAAAATATTTTTTAAGTACCATACTTTGAACACTGTATAAAATGATTCTTGCCATTGGTTATAAAATCAAAGCTAAAGCTCATGTTTCTATGCATTTAATTTGTAATGTCTAATTTGTTGACCACACTTGGTTGTTGTTGTCATCATTTCACCTTGACTGTTGTGTACGACCTTGTACTCTTGGTTGTAATAGTTATTTCAACTTGCTTGTGTGGTAATATTTTTTTTCTTCTAAACTTGGTTGTGTGCTTGCAATTATCTTTTAAACCTGCGTGCATGTTTGTGAATGTGACTTTTTCATGTACACAGTATGGTTATAATAAATATTATACAGTACCCTTAGTTATGTGGTTTCAATATTCAGTTAATATTCTGTCTCACTCAAATAGTGATTACCTAAATATCAATGTTCAAGAATTATTGTGTTATTTTGTACAGGTTTTTTTAAACTTTATTTTAATTAACTCTTTTTTAATTACCACAGTTTAAACTAGAAACCATTTTGTGAATACAATACAAAACATTTGGTAGTCATTTTGTAATCACTAATTATAATTTTAATTTCTTTAAATTTTATGTTGATGAAAATTTCTGAAATGGGAAAACTCAATGCATCGATTTCGCTGGCAACATCAATAGTAGATATACATCTTTTGAGACAGCCTTAAGCATACATAATTTGTACAACATCGATAGTGCATACTAACAAAATAGTTTTTAATTATCTGCTTAACAGTGTTTACCTTCAAGCCACATAAATTTATCAAGCTCTATCTGACTGTACTCTATAACTAAACGCCTAAATCATCTTTCATTGATCAAGTTTTTAATTGGCAATTGTTTTTTTTTAAGTTGTTTGAATATTCTTATTTATCAGCATACACCTCCTAATTGCTAAGTCTGGGTTGGGGGGGGGGGGGGGGGGAGTGGTAAGGTTGTGGAGTAGGGTTTAATTGATTAGCAAGAATCTTCATGCACACCATATCCTATGGCTTAAATTAGATTCTGCAGTTGTAAAAAAGTTGGAGATATATAATAAATAAAAATTTGTAGAATGTATTTACTTGTTAGTTTTCCATAATTTTGTATACCTTTTTGAATTTAGTATTCTACGTGTATTAAAAGCTGTTCAACAAATAGGGCTACCAATTCAAGATCTACTTTTTCTAAAATTCTTACACACAAACAAATGCATGTAAAACATTAGTCACTAATTGCTTTAACTAACTCTTACCACAGTAGGCTACATATTGTTTCTTAACATGTGTGCAACCTGGGGGGGGGGGGGGGGGGTAGCTTTTGTTATGAAGAGATTCCATTTGAATTCACAATAATTGAAAAGTATTTAAAAAAACCCGCTTGGGATTTTTTTCTGGGAGTAAAATGTATCAAGATAATTTTAAATGGACACTTCAGTTAAGTTTAACAAAGCATTTTTGATATGCACTAACAACAGTTTAGTGTAATTTACTCATCTATTAAATATTTTAAAAGCTGCTAGTAAAGGAATCAGGAAAGTTTTTATAAGTATAAGTAAACAAGCACTTTGATGAAAATTTCCAAAAGTTCCTGGAGCATGGTAAATTTTTAAAAACACAACTTATTAACTACCTAGCTAATAATGGATTAGGTTGGTCTATCAAATTATACCCTTTACTAGACAGGACTGAAGTCTCATCAATGAAATACTTCAACTGCTTTCTTTTTATAAGTTATCTTTTTATAAGTTATCTAAAACCTGTTCATATCTGCAGTGGGTTTAATGTTTTGTTATTGCTGTTAGAGCTGGACATCCCCTGATGTTTCAGTTTTTAAGCAGCTGTTTTCTTCTTCTTCTTCTTCTTCGTTCTTAATTATTAGTGTTGAAGGGAATCGAGATTTATCTGCCTGTGTGTTTGAACTCAAGACTTTGTTCGAATGTATCAACCATGAACTTTTTGCCGACTCGGCCACGCCTCCAACACAATTAAGCGTTTCGTGTCAACTGGTTATGCGCCATTGAGGCCATTGACTCCGATTTCAGCCTGCTTTTTCTTTTTGGATTTGCTTCCATAGCCTTTGTCCAACCAAGAACAAACTACAAGGCAGCAGTTGTTTAATTTTGGAGTTGTCTCTCCTAGAAGAGTGGCTGTCCCCAGCTAACGAGCCTCATCTGCCCGGGAGCAGCTGTTTTAAATCAGATGGATAGCATCAAGTCTGTTCCACTAACACAATGTACTTTGGCATTGAACATTACCTCACAATGTTTGCCCCTAATGCATCCAACTAAAAAACTCAATGTACAAACATGTAATGTGATGTCATTTATGCACAGCAATGATTAAAAACTAAGGACATCCTCATATGATAATCTCTCCAACACATTGCACGACTTTTTTTTTAATTTAAAAATTAGAATCTGTTTAACTTCAAGTGTTGGATTTAGGTTGGGGAACTTGATTTAAAAAAAAAAAAACAACCTGTTATGGCAAATCTTGTAATTCAACTTTGACCCACTTCTAATGCAGTAATTTCAAAATTTCCAGACACGATTTGACACACTTGTCTTTGGCATTCAATGCTTACATTAAAGAAAGAAAGTTCTTTTCAGTGCATTTAAAAGATTATTATTTTTAAGTTGTTTATATTTGTTTTGTTTTTTTAAAAATAGACAATGAGATCCACCATTCAATATATTTTTTATTAAATAAAAAAAAAAACATATTAAGAAAATGGCAACTAGTTTATTACAACAAAGTATTCACATTAACATTACATAGTTAAAGTTTTATAATTAAATACATACATTTTCTATACATTTTTATTTTAAGTATTAATTAAGAAATTATTTAACATACATAAGTTATAAAATAAATTTTTATTTTATTTTTTAATAAATTCTACATTAACAAATTTCAGAATATTTAACTTAACTACGTAGTATTTAAAAATTGGTACTCCAATAGTGCTTATAAATTACATTGTGAACATAATTTTAGTTCAACTGATGGAATCAGTTTTTAAGAAAACTGGAAAGGCAGTAACCATCTGTCAGTGCCAGACATGCTACAGAGGATGTGAAAGAGAGGATTGGATGCTGCATGAACATGCTACAGAGGATGTGAAAGAGAGGATTGGATGCTGCATGAACATGCTACAGAGGATGTGAAAGAGAGGATTGAATGCTGCATGAACAATAAACTGGCTCACACAACAACCAAATGTTTCTTATGTAAGCTTTGGTGGAACAATCCATAGAATGGTACTCTCTCTATAAATTAAATGGATTTTGAAAAGAACTGGACATACTATCATTACAGAAGAAATTAAAGCAGGAAAATTTACCAACACACTAAAGTAGATGAATGCAGGTAACCAATCTTGTGTCCACAAAAATTAGCAAAGCAAATGGTCAGAACAGGTATAGAACCCTACAACTAAATTGTGTGATTCTGTGAAATAGTGAATTGGGAATCAGTTTAGTAAGGCAAGAATTTCATTTGTAATTAGCGTAGCTAAATCCATTGAACTGTATGCAACATATTCCCTAGTGTTACCAGCCTAGGGGAAATAACCTGAATCTGATTTGGTTTTATACTATTTTATTAGTGTCACTACATAGTTGGCCCCTTGCCTATCCCATCAAAGAAAGGCCATAGGTTTACACTAACCATGACATTGAGATGGCCAGAGGTAGTACCCATAAAAGATATAAAATCTGAAACCATCTGTACAGCACTCAGACATTTCCTCCAGATATGGTTTCCCAGATAAATTATCAGAAACAGCTTCCCAGATAAATCATAAGAGAATGGTAAACAATTTACCTCCAATGTAATGAATGCACACAAGTACACTCAACTGTCTACATGCACATGCATGTGAGAGAGATGGAACAAAAAACTTCAAGAAATGTTGGCTAGGGGCACTGAAGATCATCCTCAAGATTGGAGCTAATCTGAGGGGACCTTTATCATTATTTAAAGAACAGTTATTAAGGGACAAAAGGGGTAAAGTCACAATACATGACACTTTTAAGATAATAACAAGGATCAGAGAAACTAATAGTATATGGATTAAAGTACTATGAAAAAGCAGAAAAGAGGTGCAAGTGGACCAAGAATAAAGACAGATATCTCAGAAAACTAGAAGAAACAGATACTCTGTTTTGTTACCTAATTGGAAGGGAGAAGTGGCACAGACCATCTGTAATAATAAAGAAGCTTAACCCTTTGAGGAGCAAGGGACACATTTCAAATTGACACCAGAACCAAATGAAACTACTTAGAGCTGTTGAATACATTTTAAATTTTTATATTAAAAAAATAAACACAACAGAGATAAATTATCGGTTTTTAAAAGGATTTGCAATTGAGAAATTATAATAATACTTATCGTGCAGAATATTTTTGCTCGTTTTTGAAAAAGTTTTCTTTGCTTAGGACATACATGTCCATACGGACTGGAAGGGAGCTAACTTTTTTATTGCTCACACTAACCACGTGTTTTTGCAGTAGAATAAAGATGGCGTCAAAGCGTTTATTTACAATCAACGAACAAAATATTGAACATCAACTGTTTGCAGACAACAGTGACGATGAAAACAACTTGCTTCTGGATGAAGAAGATGTTAATTTTTTGGAGGAAGATGTTGACAAAACAGGTGAGGAAGTTATTATCAACACTGCTTAGATTCTATCAACATAATGAGGACTCTTATAAGAAACAATTTCATACTAGGCTTCCCTCTAAGAACAAGGATGTTAAAAACTGTTAGATTTAAGAACAATTTTCTTTAAATGGTTAGAGACAGCAAAAATTGAGATAGAGATCAAAAACGTTATTGAGTTCAATTTTAAAGTTCAATTTTAATTGATGTTGGTAGACAATTACTAAACAATTCCAATGGTGAAGTGCAATAAACTTTGTAGTGAGTGAGGTGGAAGAAAAGCCAGGTGAGAACTGACAGACAGAAGCCCCAATACACAGGTGTAATGGGCATGAAAGCTATACAGAGAGGTAAGTAAAAGTAAGTTTCCCTTTCAAACCTGACAGTCTATGGGGCAAGTGAAGTAGAGTTCACTTGTGTCTGTGACCTCGGCATATGAAGAGATAGTGTGTGCCCAGCCACCTTTACTTTCCCTAACATGAGTTAGGTACCCATCAGAGTTGGGTGGACTCAGGGACGGTCTATTGACTTGAACCCGGATTTGAACTCGAGACTGGTTAGCAGTCCAGTTCTCTACAGCTAGACCATAGAGAGGACAGAATCATTTTTCTGGTGATATATATGTAACTAGTGTAGTTACAAAAACACCTTATTTGGTTGTCATAGAGGTCAAGGCCAAGACTGAACTAAGTTAGAGTTATCAATAGAAATGACGCAATAGTTGGTATCGAAATAGAATGGTTTGACATTGTTGACAACATCGGATGTACATCTGCGTGTGACTGTGTGTGTATATAAGAGGGAGAGCGAGACAGAAGAAGTGTTAGTAGATTGAGGT